TACTATATCAACGGGCATATCTGTAAACGTGAGTAATAACCTACACTGTACCATATCAACGGGTATATCTGTACACGTGAGTAATAACCTACCATGTAAACGGGTATATGTGTACACGTGAGTAATAACCTACTAAATCAACGGGCATATCTGTAAACGTGAGTAATAACCGACCATATAAACGGGTATATCTGTACTCGTGAGTAATAACCTACCATGTAAACGGGTATATGTGTACACGTGAGTAATAACCTGCCATATCAACGGGCATATCTATACACGTGAGCTATAACCTACAACATCGACGGGCATATCTGTACACGTGAGTAATAACCTACCATATCAACGAACATATCTGTACACGTGAGAAATAACCTACCATATAAACGGGCATATCTGTAAACGTGAGTAATAACCTACCATATCAAAGGGCATATCTGTACACGTGAGTTATAACCTTCCATATCAACGGGTATATTTATTCACGTGAGTAATAACCTACCATATCAACGAACATATCTGTTCACGTGAGTAATAACCTACATGTACAACATCGACGCGCATAGCTGTACACGTAAGTAATACCCTACAACATCAAAGGGCATATCTGTACACGTGAGTAATAACCTACCATATTTACGGGCATATCTGTACACGTAAGTAATAACCTACCATATCAACGGGTATATCTGTAAACGTGAGTAATAACCTACAACATCGACGGGCATATCTGTAAACGTGAGTAATAACCTACTATATCAACGGGTATATCTGTACACGTGAGTAATAACCTACTATATCAACGGGTATATCTGTAAACGTGAGTAATAACCTACCATATCAACGAACATATCTGTACACGTGAGTAATAACCTACAACATCAACGGGTATATCTGTAAACGTGAGTAATAACCTACCATATCAACGAACATATCTGTAAACGTGAGTAATAACCTACTATATCAACGGGTATATCTGTACACGTGAGTAATAACCTACTATATCAACGGGTATATCTGTAAACGTGAGTAATAACCTACCATATCAACGAACATATCTGTACACGTGAGTAATAACCTACAACATCAACGGGTANAACGTCAGTAATAACCTACCATATTAACGGGTATATCTGTACACGTGAGTAATAACCGACCATATCAACGAACATATCTGTACACGTGAGTAATAACCTACAACATCGACGGGTATATCTGTACACGTGAGTAATAACCTACCATATTAACGGGTATATATGTACACGTGAGTAATAACCTACCATATTAACGGGTATATCTGTACACGTGAGTAATAACCTACCATATCAACGAACATATCTGTACACGTGAGTAATAACCTACCATATAAACGGGCATATCTGTAAACGTGAGTAATAACCTACCATATCAACGGGCATATCTGTACACGTGTGTTATAACCTTCCATATCAACGGGTATATTTATTCACGTGAGTAATAACCTACCATATCAAAGGGCATATCTGTACCCGTGAGTAATAACCTACAACATCGACGGGCATATCTGTATACGTGAGTAATAACCTACTATATCAACGGGTATATCTGTACACGTGAGTAAGAACCTACTATATCAACGAACATAGCTGTAAACGTGAGGAATAACCTACAACATCGACGGGCATATCTGTACACGTGAGTTTATAATCTACCACATCATCGCGTATATATCTTTACACGTGAGTAATAACCTACTATATCAACGGGTATATCTGTAAACGTGAGTAATAACCTACAACATCGACGGGCATTTCTGTACACGTGAGTTATAATCTACCACATCATCGCGTATATATCTTTACACGTGAGTAAGTCCCATCACCGAATATATCTTTATACATGAGTAAGTTACATCATTGGGTATATCTTTACACCTAAGAAGGTCACATCACCGGGTATACCTCTACACGTGAGTAAATCATATCACCGGGTAAACCTCTACACGTGAGTAGGTCACATCACTGGGTATGCCTCTACACCGAGTAAGTCAAATCACAGGGTACGCCTCTACACATGAGTAAATGACATCACCGGGTATATACATGTATATATACGTGTGTAAGTCACATCACCGGGTATACCTCTACACATGAGTAAGTCACATAACCTGGTATATATCTACGCATGGGTAAGTCACATCACCGGCTATATACCTATGTGTGAGTAAGTCACATCCCCGGGTATACCTCTACCCGTGAGTAAGTCACATCACCGGGTATACCTCTACACATGAATAAGTCACATCACCGCCGAGTATATTTCTACGCGTGAGTAAGTCACATCACAAAATATATCTTTATACATGAGTAAGTTACATCACTGGGTATATATTTACACCTAATTAAGTCACATCACCGGTTATATATCTAAAAATGAGTAAATCACATCACCGGTTATACCTCTACGCATGAGTAAGTCACATCACCGGGTATATATCTACGCATGAGTAGGTCACATCACTGGGTATGCCTCTACACCGAGTAAGTCAAATCACAGGGTATGCCTCTACACATGAGTAAGTCACATCAACGGGTGTATATCTACATGTGAGTAAGTCACATCACCGGTTATACCTCTACGCATGAGTAAGTCACATCACTGGGTATATATCTACACATGAGTAAGTCACGCCACCGGGTATACCTCTACACGTGAGTAAGTCATATCAACGGGTGTATATCTACACATGAGTAAGTCACGCCACCGGGTATACCTCTACACGTGAGTAAGTCACAACACCGGGTATACCTCTACACATGAGTAAGTCACATCACACGGTATACCTCTACACGTAAGTCACATCACAGGGTATATATCTACACGTGAGTAAGTCACGCCACCGGGTATACCTCTACACGTGAGTAATTCACATCACCGGGTATACCTCTACACGTGAGTAATTCACATCACCGGGTATACTTTACACGTGAGTAATTCACATCACCGGGTACACCCCTACACATGAGTCACAGCACATAAGTCAGGAACAGAATAAAAATTGACATTAAATCGGGATCTTTTTCAGCAAAATTAAAAAAATGTGTCTATTTTGTTTGTACAAGCTTTGTTTAGATATAAAAAGCATTGTAGAAATGTGTTTGTTTTATCATACGAGGGGCACTTGAGCACAGGAGATTTGTGTACAAGAAGTCGCAACAAAAGCTCTTGAGAGCTATTAATGCGACAAACATACGTAAAATTGTAATTTCCGTTCCTTTTGAACAAGTAAGGTAATTGTTAAAAAGAATACCCTGATGAAAAATGATCCTTTTACCTAAGAATTGTTTAGCAGTGACAGTCATAATAGCGCCAGAAGCTAAATCACTGCTGCTTTCGAGCTAATTTCTCTGCAGTCGAACGGCACCGTATACGTATAGGTTCCGGAAATAGCGATCACCGAAACGAGAGCTAAATAAAACCCGTTGTTAGACACAGCCAGTCGACATGAGTTTGGAAGACTATAATCACTGCCCATGTTGTATATTTTTGAAACTATTGAACCGGATATAATGGCATACATTGTATATACTGATAATCACCGCACTGATTCGACTGATAATCACCGCACTGATCATGATTCGACTGATAATCATAGCACTGATTCGACTGATAATCACTGCACTGATTCGATACATGTTAATGTGCTTGTGAGCTTCATTTCTGTAATATATCAAATTCGTAACGAAGGTTGATCTACTACAATGTAATACACAATCTGTTTTGCACCCACCTTCGTAATGATGATAGTTTACCAAAAACACGTCCATAATCACAAGCATGCTGTGATCTTCAATAATCTGCCTCCCCTCGGCGATCGCTATATCCGGAACCTATACAGTCCCGTTCGACCACAGTGTATAACTTCCGCACATAAGTAGTCCAGTCTACCAAACGTCATGTTTCAGCCCTGTTCTAGGAAGTGCTCACTTTCACCACCAAAATGTCCTAAACTTTGAACGATTCCAAAAATGGAATGATGATCACAATAGACGAGAGTATCATTTTTACTTGATTATTTAACGAATGCAAGACTTTAAGTTTTACTGCCATCCGCTTATAACAGTAGGCGATCAGAATGTTAAAATGTACATTGTATTGATGTCCATCGTGTCAGTTATTAAAGTTCCCAATTCACACCCATCAAAACGCCATCTCTGATATTTAACCTGTGTTCAATTTCTTTATTAATTTCAGATTAGAGAATGCACTGAGACAAGTCGATAGTAGATGCCGTAAAGTTACACTACCGTATTGGGATTGTACAGCAGAATACTATAGCGACCAAACCAGCAGGGGAAGCAGTGCTGACTCTATCATATTTTCTGACGACTTTGCTGGAAATGCGGATGGCGCAGTCTCTACTGGTCCCTTCCGGGAATGGGGACTGGTCCGAAACATCGGGTTTTCCGGGTCGTTATTTGGTCGTGCTGAAATTGAGGACATGCTGACAAGGACCAATCACGGGCAGATAACAATACCGAATGCTGAGCGACGTTACAATTTGGAGTTTTATCATAACAGAATACACGTGTTTTTAGGTGGATTACTCCTTGACATAAGCCTTGCTCCCAGAGATCCATTGTTCTTCCTTTTGCATGCCTATGTCGACTTCTTGTGGGAACTTTTTCGACAAAGCCTGATAAGCCGTAGTCTAGATCCCGAGATTTATCCACCATTTCGTGATCCGAGGCATGGTCCCAATCAAACAATGGCCGGGTTCCCGGAATGGACAAATAGGGAAGGCTATCTTAATGACTGGAACGACAGAATTGCAACATACAAACCAACTTTCAATTGTGAACGAAGGAAAAATTGTAGGAGAGGTCCATCTCGATCACGCTGGATCGGCTGTTTCCAAGTTGACCGCCTCGGAACACAATGCGTAGCAATACCAAGATTGTTAACCGATTCCCGGGGTGAAAGAAGACGACGAGCAACAGAAACAGTGGATGCATTGCAGCATACCCGAGTCCAGATGTGCGACAGAGAGACATGCCCATACCAAGAAGCTAGTATACAAAACACATACGCTCTAAATGACAAGATTGACCCATCAGGGTGGGTTTACGTTCCCGTTAATGTTGTATGTGAAAGGTCAGCAGGATTATTGTTCGACACTTATGACTCCTATAATGAGAAAAACATAATGGACATATTCGATCCGTCTCGTAGTCACAAGCTACACAAGTCACTGTACACGGGACAAGCTCGAACATATGACTCTTGTAGAGTAAGTAGAATGGGAGCCACCAAAGTTTTTGTTAGAGCCGACGGTATAAGTTACAGTGGCAACTCTGTAGAATACGCTATCATAGATGAGAGATATCCTATAATGATACAAAAAGCCTTTATTCCGGTTAAAGATCCAGGTAATGAGACTAGCGAAGTCTGTTTGATTGCGTACGATGAATGTGGGAGACTTTGCCTGCCAACCTGCCTTGTGAAAGGTTCGAAACCCCCAGTATACCTACCGTGTAGTGGGTGTATTCGGGTCGATAGTAAATCTCCTAAAAGGTACGGGAAGACAATCGCTGAGGTCATAGCCAACCACTGGGAATTCCACGACGTTCACGATGACGAATACATATGCCCCGAGGAACTCCATGTCCACACATTCGTTAAGTTTGTATGCGATTCATCGACAAAGTTTCCCTGGCAAAGACTGAACAAGCAGAAATAAGTTAGCATACATGTGTTATTCGAATGGCAATACGGTGTATGCATCCAATATACTGTATTTACATCTGGTTCTGACGGAAAGACGTTGTATTTATTAAACACATCTGTTGGGTTTAGTGTTCCAATTTTATTTCTTTTTTAAAAGTTTGAATATAGTTCTAAAACACGAACTCTACACAAAAGAAAAGACATCTTCAAGATAAATCTACACGAATCAGCAGGCGTCTTAGGATAGGTATACACGATATACAATGTACATGTAACTGACATCCTGAACATAAGTGTACGAGACACAAGATGTGTTTCAGGGTAAGTCTACATTATAAACCCAACATCCTCAAGGTAGGTGTACACGATATAACTAGTATCCTCAACATATATATACACGGAACAACAGGGGATGAATACATGTGGAGGGGGGGTGGGGTGGGNATAAGTGTTATTTTTTCTTACAAATTAGGTATTTTATCTTATGAAATGAATTAAATTATTAACTTATCGATATTTTAACGTAAAAATAGACTTATTTCATCAAATGTTCATTCTGAACGAGCTGAACGAGCTGATACGCATGTATGGCGCTATTTGGTGTTTTGGAATCGTCCTGTTTTATGTAGTCGTCCTGTTTTTGGAGTCGTCCTGTATTTTGGAGTCATCCTGTTTTGGAGTCATCCTTAATGTCCTTCTGATTTCAGGTATTCTCTCCGCTTGGAAGGTTTTTTTAACGGAAACAGGGAAAATCCTGGAATTTCAGAGCAGTGGGCCATTCTATTCATATTCAATATCGAAGTTAAGAGCGGCCATTCTATGTAAAATTAAAAGAATATTGGAACATGAAGGGGTCAATTTCAGTTTTGAGGGGTGAATGGCCCCCTCCAGAAAAATAACAGTTTTTAATATTTTTTCTCTGTATTTTTTTTTATTGTATGAAAAAATAAATAAACCAAAATCGTTTACGGTAAAAGGGAAGTAATGATTAAAAAGAGCAGAAATAGAGGAGAAAAGAAAAGAAAAGAGAGACAGCGGCGAGGGAGTCCCGGAGAGAATACCTGAAATCAGAAGGTAAAAGTTAGAAACAGGGGAGCTAATTCCGTCGGTAACGCGAAATTGATGACGTCACACGAAATACACACACCTATTGAAAACAGGGGGAGAAAATTCCGTCGGTAACGCGAAATTGATGACGTCACACGCAATACACACACCATGATGATATAACTCACATCCTCAACATATATCTACACGAAACAACAGGGGTTTTAGGATAGGTCTACATGATATAACTCACATCCTTGATGACGTCACACGCAATACACACACCAGGATGATATAACTCACATCCTCTACATATAACTACACGAAACAATAGGCGTTTTAGGATAGGCCTACACGATATAGCTCACATCCTCAACATATAACTACACGAAACAATAGGCGTTTTAGGATAGGGCTACACGATATAACTCACGTCCTCAACATATAACTAAACGAAACAACAGGCGATTTAGGATAGGTCTACCCGATATAACTCACATCCTCAACATAAAACTACACGAAACAATAGGCGTTTTAGGATAGGTCTACACGATATAACTCACATCCTCTATATAGGTCTTTACGAAACAAAAGGTATACACGATATATTTAAAGACGGATGTGTTAGGTTTAGGTCATAACTATAACCAAGACTACATTGGAAGGTATGAAAAGTACAGAGAAACTGTTAAATAAGAACAGTTGGATATTCATTGAACGCGGTTACAAATGTTTTCTGCTTGGAGCTACATATGTATATATGATAGCTACACATATCTCCATGTCCATTTATCCATATAATTTCATTGAATTATTCTGAGGTTTACAGTAACGTAAGTTGCGAGAGAATTCGCTGAATTTCAAAACATCATATTTTCATTTTCACCGGCTGTTTTTAATTAAAATATCAAAAATTTATCTGTGACATTTTTTCCCTGGAATACTTGAGCAAGACGAACAAAAAATTGGCGCAGCAATTTTTTTTCTTATTTTCAATCATCATATCTTTAAAAAAAAAAGGTAACGGGGAATTTGACCATATTACCTGTATAAAGCAAAAGTTAAAAAGCACATATATACTGATATGATCAAAATCAAATTTAGCTTTCACACAAAAAGACTAAGAAGTAAATTTTGTTGTTGCTGCAGAAAGGGACTATTTCCAGCCATGTAAAAATTACATAGGAGCCTACCCCCTCAGAACGTTTGTTTGAGAAGTGCTACGAGGTTTATGCTGCTGTTTTTTCTTTTTTCAATCCCTTATACATCTGGAGTTATGTTTATTATCCAGAATGTGAGTTTAATCGAACGTTTTGTGAAAATTTGAATATAAAATATAGGATTTTTTATTTTTATTAATCTTGTATACCAAAAATTGCCATAGTATGAAGAAGTGGTGTTATTTCAAATATATATGCAAAATTTCAAAAAAAGTGGTGGAAAGTATTCATTTCGCACAACAAAGTACCCTGTGTACCGAAAAGGGCGAGAGCCTATAGCTAAGACACCTCCCTGACGTCCACCAAAATGCAATGCACCTGATTACAGGTAATTGGTAATGAAATTCGTTGCAAGCCTACAATAAACCCTTCAGTGCATGTTAGGTCACAAACAATTCCAAATTCCAGTGTATTTTATCACTTGGCGTGATTGATAAAGATTTGTTAATATGCCCCCATTTCACTAGGCTACGACAGGCGGCGTCGGTGTCGGTTAGCCACCATCCGACAGCATCCGACAGGAACGTAGATTGACCGAATATCAACCAAGCACTGGCCGAAGGGTGACGTCGAGAAACCCCAACTGACGCAGAGTGACCGAGAGAACATTTTCTGACCCCGGCAAATTTTGAGCATGCATAAAAATCGGCTGCGACAGGCCAAGATAGCATTTTGACCGAGTACTAACCCTCATCAACCGAACTTCACCGCAAGGTGACGTAAGTCTAACCGAATAGCAACCCCCATCGACCTAACACAAACCCTGAGAAACCCTGCCTGTCCGAGTGTTTTATCAGACTCGGTCAACAGTGCGTTTCTCTGCGTTGGTGTTACGTCACAGTCGGTTGCTCTGAGTCGACATTCGGTCACATTCAGTCAGCAAACAATGTCAGGGACCGTCATGCACTGCCTGGCGGGGTTAGACATGGGTCGCCATTCGGTCATGCTGCGTCAGCCTGCGCCAGTGTTACGTCAATATTCGGTCAGCTTGGGTTGTAGTTTGGTCAATGTCGGTTGCTATAAATACGGGTGCGCCACATACGATTGGCTAGTGATACATTTGTTTTCCAAAGCATCATGCCACCAAAGAAATCAAGAAAAACGTTAAGACAGGCAATAAAGAAGACGAAGGGCAAAGCCGTGATGCAGCCCGGAGACACTCCAACAGGAGACGACGAGCACCAGGTAGAGGTCCAGCCAGTTGTTGAAAGTGTGGGCCAGGTGATAACCATCGTTGGGCAAGGGAAGCATCCAAGAGGTCGTGGTCGTGTTGGAGGGAGCAGAGGGTGTGGACGTGGACGTGGCAATAAAGATATTGTAGCCGAGGCCATGGAGGAGGCAGACGTTGGTGCTGAGAAGGAGGACGAGTATTTTAATGGTGCAACTTCTTCAGAAGATGACACGGAGGTTCCAGCCCAGAAGAAAAAGAAGACCGCAGAGGTGGTGCTCACTCCCGAACAAGATAATGGCCACGTGTTTCCCATCCAGGGCACCCAGAGCATGAGGGACGTTCCACCTCCTCTGGAACTGCAGGGCCACCTCTTTCCATTCATCGGGGGTGACGGGGCACTGGACCTCCTCTTCTGTAAATTCATCGATGATGGCGATGGTGTGTCTGGACACTCTGAAGCTGTACTGCAAACTTGGGTAGTTGTCCCCAGTAGCCAGGTGCCGGAGTACCACAGCCAACTTCAGCCCTGGTTCCAGAGGTCGTCTGAACTTGGTGTCCTTCTTCTGGAGGCGAGGCGTCAGCCGGTTGAGCAGGAATTGGAACATGTCTGGAGGCATGCGCAGGTAGTTAGTAAACGACTGTACATCCTCGTTCCGGAGCTTGACCATAAGGTTGTTGTACTGGCCAGCTGAGACTCGCTCATCTTCTGTTAACCAGGTCCTCACCCAGAACCGCTTCTTGCTATATCTTCTGCGGGCCCTTTGCCTCCTTCTTTCCTGCAGGACCTCGGCCTGGGCACGGATGTAGGCATGATGCCGACAATCAGATCAGCCTGGAAAAGTAACAATCAATTTTGAGATCAAATGTAATCTTCTTGTCACTTTTAAGAATTTGTTCTTATACATTTTGTTATCATTTTCTATACATTTAGTCATCAGACTTTCGTTTCACATTGCTTTTAGGGAATATTTCATACTCATTTGTTTATATTCATCTCATAATGAAGAGTAAATGTATTGGTGAAGGTCGCCATCGTATCTTCGTGGAAGTGTTTTTCTCTTAACAATCAATGACCTGTTTTACGGGCCATGTTCACATAAAAAATGTTGCCTTTGTTTTAACAATTTGAATTCGAAGGAAAGCAAATCCACACTTCTGAAAAAACGTACCAGGCATCAGGTAATTTTCACACACAAATTGTGGTGTTCTGTGTCATCACGTGTATGCTCATTTCATCTTATTGGCAAGTGACCTAAACCCTTGTACACAGGTTATCCTATAAGGAAAAGAGTCTTTGAATTCTCAATTATGAAGTAGGTCATCTGAAATAATTGATGACCTTTTAGAAGTGTCGTACATCTTATCAAAAAATCAATAAGTCTTCACTCTCATTTTTTGTCTCTTGGATGACGCTGGCTGCAAAGCTTAGACAGGTTGGTTAAAGATAAGTTTCTCAAAATCCATACTTGATTTGTCCCATTTCTTCCTTCTTCAGTATATACCAAAACTACACAAGATGCTCTTATACTGTTTTGGAGTAAGATGAAACTGTTATCTCTTGTAATTAAGTGTTCCGCTCTTTTTGGCATTTCCCTGCCTAGTATTTCAAAAACCTTTCATTCTGTAGTACAAGCATTGAATAAATCTATAGTTCTAGCGTTCCTTGGTCCTGACCATTTGA